GATGAAACGAGCTTGACCAATGATCACAGCTCATATTCACCATCAAAATGATTGCTTCTCTAAAAACCATCCAATTAAAAAAGGAATTAGGAAAAAAGAATGTAAAGAGTATCAGGAAAACAAAAGATTAGGTAGTAAAAGTAAAATATTGCAACCCAAAAAGAAAAGTTCTGTCTTTGATCTTTTCTTTCAATCAACTATTCTCCAAAACTGGACCCCTCTTAAGATCTCAATTTGTTTTTCTCACAAAATTCGACAAAGAGAGAATCGATCTTTTGAGAGGGTATCAGTTTTTTTTTTTTTAATTCTTCTCCAATCTTGTTTTCTGGTTTTGGTGTAGAAAAATTGTTTGTTTCTTCTCTCTTCTAAGGATTTTTCTTAAAACTTTTGTTTTTTTTAGCCCGGGAAAGTTTTCACTTTTAGTTTTTGAGGGAGTTGAAAATTTTCCATAAATGTGGGGAGCCGCCGCAGAACCAGCAGATTCCTATTACCAGATTCGCCCTGAGTGCACCGATGTCCCCAATACCAGATTCAAGATCAAAGTATGTCCCTTTCCGTCATGTTTCATCTTCAATTTTTGCCCTCTGTTTATCAATGAGATTGTCGATTGTAAAGTCAGAATCTTTGCCGAAATTTCTGCTATTTCTTTCATTCAATGGATTTTTAAGCTAATTTGTAGCATTGGGTTACGAACTTTAGCCATTGTTATTAGGTATTATCATGTGTTTGGTTTGATCAAACAATGGAAGAGAGCATTTACTTGTTGTGATTTAAGGGAAAGCTGGAAGCAACCCAGAAAAGCTATGGGGCTTCGAAAAACGACTTATGACATGTGTTTATGTATTTTGATGGGGAATATTGATCTTAATGCTCTTTAAATAGGTTGATAATCTCATGATTGTGTTAAAAGAATGGCAGATTCCTCCATTGGATTTGGAAGTTTTGTTTGCCATTGCTAGGTTTATCTATGTGGGAGGTGGATTATGTGTTCTTCATTGTTTTGATTGGATCAAACAATAGAAGATAGCATTCATTTTACTAGCTATGTGGTTTGGTAGTCAAGAGTGCTGCTTAGGTTCACAGATCTAGTAGATGATCTTGTTTACAAATGATTTATCTTTAGAGAATGGCAGAGTCTCAATTGCTGACAATATCTGTCTTTTTTTTTCTTGATTTTGTTTGTGCAGCCTGGTAAAACTCTAAGTGTAAGAAAATGGCATGCTGCATTTACACAGGAAGGGTTCCTCGATATTGGCAAGACCCTAAATCGAATCCAAAGAGGGGTAATGTCTCTTACCATTTGTTTGCAAAAGACTGCAACTTTATCTAAATTTGTTCCCGAGTATGTGTAAAAACCACTTGTATACCTGCAGTGTCATGGTATCAGATTTCGTTTTCTTGTCATTACTAATACGTTTGCTTGCTTCCTTGACTGGTCTATAGGGGATCCATCCATCGATTAGAGGAGAAGTCTGGGAATTCTTACTTGGTTGTTATGATCCAAAGAGCACATTCGAAGAAAGAGAGCAAATCCGACAACGTAGAAGGTGAATTTCTCAACCCATAGATACAGTAAATTAGTTTCGTCGAGATCATATTTGTCTTACATACTCAAGCTAATGAGAGTGATGATGCTTCATATTTGGAAAAGTGTACTGAGGTCGTTGATGATACTGAGGATGGGACTAATTTAAAATAGAAGTATATATGGGAGACTATATTCTTGTTGGTGGTTAAAAGCAGGATCAAGTGACTAGTGTACCTAAATTTTCATCCGACAGTTCATCTGATAGTTCATCCGACGATTTTGTCTTATCAAAACGCATATGAGCTGTCTGATGAGCTGTCTGATGAACTGTCTGATGAAGATTTAACTTCACCAGTCACTTGAGCCTGCTTCTTACCACCAACGACAATATCGTCTCCCATGTAAGCCTTCTCTTTTAGAATTTTCTTGGAGGTGCTATCATCCTCAGAATCATCAACGACCTTAGTAAATCAAAGAGTGCTGCTATATCTTTGTATTTAAATCATTGGTGTTTCCCTTTCAGATTGCAGTATGCTTCATGGAAGCAGGAATGTAAACAAATGTTTCCGGTCATCGGAAGCGGTGGATTCATCACCGCACCTGTAATTACCGAAAAGGGTCAACCCATTCTCGATCCTCTTGTACTACAAGAAACGAATCTAGGTAAAAAAAGTGTAATTTTGCTTGAGGAAATAGTTTAGAACTAGAATTTGGTAAATTAAGCATTTTAAGTATTATCTCAGGTGAAAATTCTGATTTCTTCAAAGAGCTTGCAAGCCGGGGACCTTTGGACAAGAAAGTTGTCCAATGGATGCTAACACTTCATCAGATAGGTCTGTGATCACCGCACAACGGAAACTAGTTCAGTGAGAAACAAAATTCAATATATCATTCAACTCATGTGCGTTAAACTCTGATTTTTCAGGTCTTGATGTAAATCGAACGGATAGGACTTTGGTATTCTATGAGAAAAAGGATAATTTGTCTAAGCTTTGGGATATTCTAGCTCTTTACGCCTGGATAGACAACGACGTCGGTTATTGCCAAGGTAAAGCCTTTAAAGTTTAAATCCAGAGAATAAACACAGTATAGTCCTCTGTTCAATCCCTCGAAAGTCGGTTTTGATCTGTCTACTGTTTCTTGTGACCAGGAATGAGTGATCTTTGTTCTCCTATGATTATGCTTCTTGAAGACGAAGCTGATGCTTTTTGGTGTTTCGAACGATTGATGCGCAGATTGGTACTTTACTTCTATGTTTTGTGTTCATATACGTTTGTCTTGTGACTTTCTATTTGTAATCAGATTATACTAAAGATTTTTTTTTTTTTTTTTTTCCAAATTGAAAAGCGAGGAAATTTCAGGAGCACGGGAAGATCAGTTGGAGTCGAAGCACAGCTTACTCATTTGGCTTCAATCACTCAGATTATTGACCCTAAACTTCACCATCACTTAGGTATATATTTAAAGCTTTCTCACCTCACTTTTACCATATAATCATCGTCATTGGTTCTTGAGAGAAAATTTGGATCTTTGAAATGCAGAGAATTTGGGTGGAGGTGACTATCTCTTTGCGATTCGGATGATAATGGTTCAGTTCAGAAGAGAATTCTCCTTTTGCGACTCCTTGTACCTTTGGGAGGTAAACGGTTTTCTTCTTCATCTCTTTATATACTCAAGAAACGTTTTGCTTGGACCGGACACACTAATAAAGACCGGATATTGTTTTCTGAGCAGATGATGTGGGCTTTAGAGTATGACCCTGAAATGTATTCTCTGTACGAGGAGCCACAATTCGAGGGAGAGAAAACTGAAGGCTCCACCAAAGGTAAACCGAAGTCGATAAACCAATGCGGGAAATACGAAAGAGAGAACATGAAGAACGGTGGGAAAAGCGCAGAAGGTCCTTTGCCTATTTCGGTTTTCTTAGTGGCTAGTGTTTTGAAAGACAAGAGTTCTAAGCTTATGACCGAAGCTCGAGGACTCGATGACGTTGTTAAGGTAAATGCAGAGAGAGAGAGAGATCTCACCGGTTTTCTATATTTCCAATGGAAATAAACTCCTCATTAATCTGTGTGTGTTTTGCTCAGATCTTAAACGACATAACCGGAAACTTGGATGCTAAAAAAGCATGTTCTGGTGCAATGAAACTTCACAAGAAGTATCTAAAAAAGGTTTGCCTCTAAACATATTTATCTTTTCTCTTTAGATTGTTTCTTTCGAGTTTGTGCCTGGTCTTTCTTTAGCTGTATTTTAAGTCTCTTTGATTGTTCTGTTTTTGGTTTGTTATAGCAGGCCAAGAAATAGTATTGGAGAAGATTCGTGAGTAGAGTTTTTGTATGTTATTTTTACATATTTTGATAACTCACAAAATCCGGCGGCATAAAGTTACTACTGGTCAGAGATTAACGATTCCTTGGGTGGCAAACATTCTTTTTTAAAAGAAAAACCATGGAGCCCTAGCACAACAACTTTTCGTTGTAAAGTGTGATACAAGTCCATGTTGTAAGATTTATTTAACAACCATGTGTTTTCTTTTGTAATACCAAAATAAAAAAAAGCAAAGAAAAAATCACAAACACATTCCTCCTTGGTTTTAAACTCGACTGTTGTATTTATGAGTCGGATTATGTAAATAAAAGATGAAATAATTGGGTTCTTTTTACAATAAACTTGCATTGTGTGTGCCTCCTGCAATATTTGTTCTTACTTAACAGAGCTTGTTTCATCAATTGCTATTACCTTTGGATTTAGCTGCATGGCATCCCATCCATCATCTTAGGCATTGGCTTGACCGTAGCCGCGTCCACCAAAGAGGGTACGGCGATATTGTTTGAGATTTTAGTGTAATCTTCAGCTTTTAAGATCTGATGCAACGGATCCTGTTATGGTTACAATGAGCTCTCTGTGACGAAAAACCTACAAACTTTTTGCTCCCCTTTGAGCTCTTCGATGCCCGTGATCACAATTATAGCCGTTGATATGAAATTTCACACTTGCGCCGTCACATTATTGACCCCTAGGGTATAACTTCTCTCAGCCGCCAAAAGCTGTAGGACGAGTAGATTCCATTGCAATGGACCAGTCCTGGTGGTGGCTCGTCATATTTCTTTGGAGCATCGTAGTCTTAAGCTTAGGATAAAGTCGGAAACAATAAAGGTTTTTACTATAGCAAAACTCAGAACGAGATTCAGCCGATTGCAATGTGTCTTCCTAATTCCTCGGGTTTACTTAATACGCAAGAAAGTAATAAACAAATAAGAGAATAGGTCAAACAAGTTACTGAATTAGAGAGGCAGAGCACAACTGTTTCTTCCCTCTAGTTTTTTTCTCCTGTTTGTACGGAAAGCAAAGAAGTGAAAGCAAGAGAGAGAGAGAGAGAGACTGATGTCTTAATTCTAAGTTTAGTCCTCATGATATGAATATAAAACTACTAATCTACGATTTAAAACCTAAAATTGTTACAAGTAAACTAATTTAAACTGATACGAAACAGAACATTCAAACTAGTTAAGCAGACAGAGGCTAACTGAGCTCCTTGTACTAATAAAACAAGTAAAGAATATCGGAGAAGAACACACATTACGAATGAACAGAAGAGAATCAAGGCAATTTTACACCGAAGAAACATTTTCATTGAGAGGGAAACAAAGATAGACAAAGACACCAGAAAGTTCAAAACATGAAATAGTCGTCACTTGAAACTTTTAAACCATCTAAACTCCTCCTTTATTGCAACACCTTCCACATCAGAAGAAGGATCAAGGGAAATTTTTTCTTAGAAAGTTAAAAACCTCGTCTTTTAAGCGTCTACTGTTTCAGCAGAATCAGCAGCGGCTAAGACCAGCTCCGGGCTTAGGTCTCCGACAAAGGTTCCGTCCAAAGCGTTGGGCTGTCCCAAAGCTTTAAGAGCAAGTTGTCCCGCCTTCTGTCCTGATATCATCATAGCTCCAAAAGTAGGTCCCTGCATCACAAATTCACTCATTCTTAATATAGTCTTAAATTATAGATATCGAATCATACATTGGTCAAGAAGAAGGAAATAAAACTCACCATCCTTGGTGCGCCATCGATCTCAGCAACTTCCATACCGGTGACAATCATACCGGGAACAACCTCTCTGGTCAATCTCACGATCGCATCCTCGGCAGTGTTCATGTCAAGGGCCTTCATCCCAGGAACATGGTCGATTAACCCGATGCTCTTCAACCGCTTAACACCGGTGGCTCCGAAGGGACCGTCGTGACCACACGAGCTCACGACGATCTTTGCCTCCATGACGTTGGGGTCCATGCAAGACTGTGTGTCGTGGTTCATCGACACTAGCGCCCAGTTAGTCACCACACCGGCGACTCTGTTTCCCTTGACGATCAGATCCTCTGCGGCCACGGCGTTGAAGAGCTTCACGTTGGGACGAGCCAAGAGCTTGCTCATGATGGTTGATGTGAACAGAGCAGCATGCTTGACCACGACGTAGGTGTCTTGCTCGTCGTAAGCTACACCGATCTCGTCTAGGAACAAGTGAGCTGGTTTACGCACAATCTGTCAAAATAACACACACAATTTTCATCGAAATTGGTTAAATCTATCCCTGATTTCGAATATTTAACGTTGAGTCCTACAAATTATGATTTTTATAGTCACTGTGATTCAATCTTAGACCTAATATGGATCTACAGAATCAGAAGAAATCAACCGACCTAACATGCATCTTAGCCCTAATATGATTCTATGAATGCCTAGAATCAGAAGAAATCAATCTAGTTCCTCAAATACGTACAACAGCGAGAGAGAGAGAGAGAGAGAGAGAGAGAGAGAGAGAGAGAGAGAGAGAGAGAGAGAGAGAGAGAGAGAGATATGGGATAAGCATTACCATGGCGGAGAAAAGCTGACCACCGAGCCACGCGCCACCGCCGGGACTAACGGATTGTTCAATGATAGCGACCTGAACGTTAGGGTTCTTGCTGATCTCGTAAGCGCAGGATAATCCAGCGGATCCAGCACCGACGACGACGACGTCGGTCTCGGCGTAAGTGATCATATCAGTCATGTACCTCCTCGTCATCTCGCGGGACACGATCGATTCCTTGATCGGGTCGAAGGTGAAGGCGTTGAGATCGTAGCCAGCGGTGGCACGAACGGAGACGGCGGAAGGAGATCGCGACTTGAGGCCGAGGAAGACGGGAGCGGCGGAGATGGATGAGCCATGGAAAGAGGAGGAATCGAAAAGCCTCTGGGACTTGGTTGAAGAGAGAGAGACAGTGGAAGTAAAGGCCGCCATTTTGAGAGGAGGAGATGTTTAGGTTTCAGTGACGATGATGAAGTGAAACTGTTGTGTGGTTGTTGAGTATTTAAACTATGAAGAGGCCGAGAAGAAGAAAAATATCTGGAGAGTGATGGACACGTCAGAGATAAGATTTGAAGGGTCATCGAATTTTGCATTTTTTTTTTTTTTTTGTGTGACTTTTAGTATATAGTATAGTAGTTGAAAAACATTGGAAAAGTAACAATCTCCTTTTTTTCACGGTTCAAATTAAATGAAAAAGTCATTTGAGTAAAAGTTTAAACTGTAAAATTAGTTTAACAACTATAATAATAATAAAAAAAATTGTTTATTGTAGTGTATTAAAATCCAAATATGGGTTCCGAGTGTACTACAATTGATTATATTACTAATTTAATAGAGATTTGATACTTGATTAAAAAAGAAAGTAAATATTTGCTTGTCAGGAAAAAAAGGAAACATAGATTTCCTATTTAAAAGTTCAAACACAGTTTATGCCTATGGTAATAAAATATCTCGAAGCGTTTGTCTGGAAGTATCTGCAACCAATTGCAATAGATGTGTGGTGACACGAACACAAGAAAGATGTACGATAGAGAAATAGTTGGACATTACTACTGAAAATGACAGTTCGTTATTATGGTGTATGAAAAAAAACAAAATCATTTATTTAGATATCAATTTTTATTGAATTTATGAAGTATGAGAGGCATGTTCTTTCTGGTCATAGAATCTTTTTTTATCTTTCTTGCGGACCAAACTAAAATCTGCAATGAAATAGCTAAAATCTGCAATATCATAACTTCAGGTTGTTGCTTATACTGTATAATTTAAAAATTAAGATCAATATAGAAAATAACAAAAGAAATTTGGTTGAAAAAATAATGAGAGAGCTGAAATTTCAAGTCAAGAGTTGAAACAGAGCAACACAGTCTCTTTGAAGTCAAGACACCTGAAATCACCATATTTTGGCATACTATAAACTCATTTAAAAGTCGGATTCTAAATTTCTAATGTTGTATCGCCTGCAGAATAAATAGAAAGATAGAGAAAAAAAAAACTAAAAAGGTTCACACTTGTAAATAATCAAACACTCAAGCAGTATGTTCCTGAAAGTTAAATGCTTCGTTCGCTCCATCCATGCCATATATATATAGCCTTATATAAAACAAAGTCATTAGAGACAAAAAAAAAAAAAAAATTAAAACACAACTGTAAAAAATCAAAACACTTGTGGAAAATATCGCGAATATGTTTTTGTTTTTAGAGTTTGAGTTTGAAAGCTTTAATTGTATAATTGTATAATTTCCTTAACTGAAATTTTATTTACTTTCATTTTTTCTTTTTTTGATTGAAGTTCAATTGTATATTTTCATAAACTAAAGTTTTGTTCCTTTTTCTTTGATGGTACTTTGAAATATCAAGCTTTATATAATTGCTTTAAACCATATATACTCCATCTGCCTCAACTCTCAAGGTGTTTTTTTTCCTACTGTAATTGCTTTGCCTACCATGGCAAGGTACTACAACTCCTTAAGGATGGTTACTCGATTTCTCTCTTCTCCATCGCTTCTTCCTCGTTCCAATTATGTACGGAACAATTTATTTCCAACCGGTATTTCCCGCGTTTCGTATTCTCATAGCTCTTGGATACCTCGCTGCTCATATTCTGTGTGCCTTGACTTGCAAAAAGAGACGAGTCGTTCTGCTACTGTTGCGGCTCTTGATTCGGTGGTGAAGATCTACACCGTCTCTAGCACGCCAAACGTTGTTCAACCTTGGCAGAGGGATGAGGAAGAAGAATCCACGGGATCTGGTATTTAAAAAGAAGCTAATATATTTTCCTCTGTGTTAAATTTCCATAATTCAAATGTAGCTCGGAACAATAAAGATTAAGCACGCTCTTTAGACTCGATATATTTTAGGGCTTTTCATATTACAAAAAGTATATTCATATAACGTAACTTTGTTTTCTTGGGCTGAGAGATTTTGTAGCTGATTTAAAAACTAATGATGTTTGACTTATATAATAGTATTATATTGTGGAATCTGATTAGGGTTTGTAATCTCAAAGGAGAAGATTCTTACCAACGCTCATGTTGTGGAAAATCACTCATACGTGCAAGTGAGAAAGCATGGTTCATCGACGGCGTACAAAGCAAAAGTTGAAGCGGTTGGGCATGAATGTGATTTGGCCATATTAGTTATTGATAACAAAGAGTTTTGGGAGGATATGGATCCGTTGGAGCTCGGAGACCTACCCTTTATCAACGAAGAAGTCTCTGTTCTTGGTTATCCTAAGGGTACACGTCTTGAACAATTTTGCTTTAAATTTTCGTCTAAGTATATCAATGTCGTTGGGGAAATAGACTAGAATATTAAATAAAATGTTTGAGCGTTATGTTAAAATGCAGGTGGTGACACAATTTCTGTTACAAAAGGTATTGTATCGAGAATTGAACCTACAAACTATGTTCACAGCTCCACCGAGCTATTGAGTATACAAATAGATGCGGCTATTAACAAGGGGAACAGTGGTGGTCCGGTGGTTATTGGAAACAAAGTTGCTGGTGTAGCATTTCAAGGTCTTACACGTTCTGAAAATATAGGGTTAGTTGAAATATTGTAAATCTTGAATAGTCATTATTTACTTTTTATGTAGTTGAGAACAAAACTGTTTATCTAACATTATCGATCGTTGGTTGTTTCGGGTGCAGCTACATAATCCCAACTCAAGTAGTTAAACATTTCTTAAGTTGTTCAGAAGAAAGTGGTGCATTCGTTTGTTTCGGTTCGCTGGATATTTCGTGTCAACGTATGGTGGATGCTCAACTACGTAAGCTCTTTCAAATGGATCATACAATGACAGGGATCCTTATAAATGCAATAAACCCCTTGTCGGATGCTCATAAATTTTTGAAAAAGGACGATGTCATTCTTGCGATCGATGGTGTTCCTATGGGAAATGATGCGAAAGGTAGGGTTTTTACAAGCTTAAAAATTTGGTGAAATCTTCTCCGCATGTGTGTTGATTGAATTGAATTGATACTTGCTTCATGCAGTTCCCTTTAAGGGAAAAGAACGGATATCTTATAATCATTTGGTTTCTATGAAGAAACCAAGCGAAACAGCTTTACTTAAAGTTCTAAGAGATGGAAGAGAGCATGAGTTCAATATCAGTTTAAAACCCGTAAGTCATCTGTATTCTTGTTAGAGAGTTTTGTGACTTCTTGTTCAAGTAATTAAAATCATTCTTTTTTATATCAAAAACCAATACGTAAACGCAGGTGCAGCGGCTGATTCCGGTGCATCAACCTGATCCAAGTTATTACATACTTGCGGGTTTTGTCTTCGTGCCTCTCTCTGAGCCATACATTGATGATGATTTATCTGATGACATATGTGAATGTGAAGTTGAAAAAAGGATGCCCAAAACGGCTGGTGAACAAATTATCGTAATTTCTCAGGTTTGTCCTCCTTTTTGAAAATTAATCACAAGATTGAGGATAGCTTGAGCTAATCACATATAAGTCTTTGTCATGAAAACTTGGCTGGTAATTTGAGTTTCAAATATATGTAAAATAACAATGTCTTCTTCGCTATTTTGGTGTCAAGACTTATAGAATTTGTTTGATTTGTGTGTGTGTGTATGGTGTAGGTGTTATCGGATGACATCAACAGAGCATACTCTGATTTCAAAAAATCGCAGGTCAGTCTTTCGTTGCTTATTCTCAGTTCGACTCAGCCTGCTTATATATTGACTATAATAATGAAAGAAAAAATCCTACTAAAAGAAATCATATACAGTAGTTCCACGTTCATTTGTGTCCTGAGAAACTTAATAACTAGTGATTTGAAGCAGGTGAAGAAAGTGAATGGAGTGGAAGTGGTGAATTTGAAGCACCTACGTGACCTCATAGAGGATTGTTGCATCGAACTTTTGAGGTTGGACTTTGAAGATGATCGAGTTGTTGCATTGAACTTTACTTCTGCAAAAGAAGCCACTTCGTTGATCTTAGAGCGTCATGGTATACGGTCTGCAATGTCCAAGGACCTTCAGAAAGAACCAACAACAAAACTGTCAACTGATTAATTGAATATCGCCAATGAGGTTGGATTTGAGTTGCTTAGATAAATGTTTTTTTGTTTTACCAACTATTAAATGACTAATTAATTGTTTCTATCCACTGCTTGTATACTGTGCTTCCTCTCAACTTATTTTGGTGTCTATGGAATTGAGTGTTAGATCATTGTTTTTTTTTTTTTTTCTTTTATAACCCCCAAAACTAACAGGAAATTTAAGGTCTTTTAAAAAATAATTCAAGCAAAGAATATGTTAACAAGCTTAATTCAAAATCAAAACACAAACCGTAGCAAACTAAATCGAAAAAAAAAAAATTCAATCCAGGGAATGCATGGACGACACGACAGGCGAAACATGTGATCCTGTGGCGGTGACCGACCCAAACAAGGTCGACCCAAACATTGGTTTAATTATTAATAATATTTATTTTTTTGGGGGTCAAATAGTTTAATTATTAAAGCAATTATCTTCATTTAATGTTTTGTCTGGTCAGAATCTCCACTAAATCTTAAAAATATAGTATTTTGGCAGATTAACATGGAGGAAAAGGAAGTATTAATTAATTAATGGATCCAATAATTGAGTGAGTATCAAGTAAATGATATACATACATACATTAGACGTAGTACTCGTTAAAACATACTGTACTTAACTTAACATGTCGTTCCTGTCTGTTCGTATTGTGGCAAGGTTCTACAACTCCTCGAGCACTCTGGTTCCTCGACTCCTCTATCCTCCTTTGATATCTCGTTTCTGTTCTTCTGTGTGCGTTGACTCGCCAAGTGAGTCAGCACAAGAAAACACGAGTCGTTCGGCTATTGACTCGGTGGTGAAGATCTTCTCCTTCTATAGAAAGCCAAATGTTGTTCAACCTTGGCAGACAACTGAGAAAGAACGCTCAGGCTCTGGTAATCATAAAACATCTCTCTCGTGTGATTTCTTTATCATATATATCCAAATTGAAATATGTTCTTTTTGTTTATCGGATGGAATTTTCATAAATTCAAATCGTTCGACTTAATTAGTTTGTAATATTTATTTAGGCTTTGCAATCTTCGGAAGGAGGATTCTTACAAGCGCTCATGTTGCGAATGATCACTCATACGTGCAAGTGAAAAAGCATGGTTCGCCCACCAAGCACAAAACAAGAGTCGAAGCGTTTGCGTATGATTGTGACTTGGCCATTTTAGTTGTTGATAATGAAAAGTTTTGGGAGGATCTGAATCCTTTGGAGCTCGGAGACACGCCCCTTTATCGGCGAATCTGTCTCCGCTTTAGGTTATCCTGTTGGTACGTCTGTCTTGAACAATGCTATATAATAAAGAATATGTTTGATATGTGTATAGTATTGAATAAAGAATAACACCCATGCTTCACTTAGAGATAAGTGACTGTTGGGAATTAATATGTGATGTGATGATCTTAATTTGCTGATAATCATAATGACTTATTAGTTACGTTATGCGTTCAAATGCAGGTGGTCGCACAATTTCCGTCACAAAAGGTATTGTATCGAGAGTTGAACCAGGAACATATAATCACAGCTCTATTGAGCTATTAGCGTTACAGATAGATGCGGCTATTAACACTGGAAATGGTGGTGGTCCAGTGGTCATGGGAAACAAAGTCGTTGGTATGGCATCTGAAATGAAAAAGTGAGTTGAAACTATAATCTTATGTCTTTTTGTAAAATTGAAATTAAGATATCCATGGTTGTAGATTTCATATATATATTAGAATCAGTGTGTTGAAATTGAAAAAGTTTAGTACCTATAATAGTCATAATAATTAAGCTATATATATATATATATATTTATGGCAGCTTAAGTTTTGCATCTATTATTATTTTATTTTTTTGTTGAGATTGCAAAAAAAATGTCTAAATTTCTGTGGTTTTGTCTGCAGATATATAATTCCAACTCCAGTAATTAAGCTTTTCTTAAGTGGTGTTGAAGAAACCGGTCAATACATTGGCTTTTGTTCTCTGAGTATATCATATCAATCTATGGAGGATGCCAATTTACGTAAACACTTCAAAATGAGTCCTGAAATGTCAGGAATTCTTATAAACGAGATAAATCCGCTGTCTGGTGCTCAGGGAATTCTGAAAAAAGATGATGTCATTCTTGCAATTGATGGTGTTTCTATCGGAAATGATGAGAGAGGTAATAATACTCCTACAAATATGTATTTCTATACCCTAATTGATGAGTCTTCTCCATGCGTGTTGGTGAAGTAAGCTTTAAATATGTTGCATGCAGTTCCTTTTCGCGAAAATGAACGGATAAATTTCGATCATTTGGCTTCTTTCAAGAAACCAGGTGAAACAGTCTTACTTAGAGTCTTAAGAAGGGGAAGAGAACATGAGTTCAGTATCATTTTAAGACCTGTAAGTCATCTATCTTTCTTGCTTACATTGAACATTAAGTGTGGTTCACGTTTTTCTTTGAATGGAAAATTATCATAACGATTTTTAACGGTTGTCTATTATGACCGTTATATATCGCAGGAGCAACCGCTTGTACCGGACCAATATCTTCTAAGTTATTACATATTTGCAGGTTTTGTATTTGTGCCTCTCTCCAAGCCATACATTGATTCGGACCATTCGGTTAAAGTGTGTAAATGTCCATCAGAAGGAAAGCCTAAAAAGGCTGGTGAACAGATTGTCATAATTTCACAGGTTTGTAACGTTTTTCACTACTTTTGAACGTGAAGTTTTCTCCTAAGGTTAATTCGTTGTTAGAAAGATGTTGGATTTTTTTTTGTTTTTGTTTTTTTTTGGTGTAGGTCTTATTGAATGACATAACCGCAGAATACCGTGATTTCAAAGAATTTCAGGTAAGTCATTACATTTTTATTGCTCAAGTGAAAAGTTGTTTGAAGCACAATGATATCATAAATAGTTTTAATAAATTCTACAGGTGAAGAAAGTGAACGGAGTAGAAGTGTTGAATCTGAGACACCTAAGTGAGCTTGTTGAGGAGTGTCGTGCTGAAGAGTTGAGGTTGGAACTAGAAAATGAAAAGGTTATTGTCGTGAACTATAAATCTGCAAAAGAAGCTACTACGTTGATGCTGGAACATCACGGAATACGGTCGGCCATGTCCAAGGACCTTAAGAAAGAAGCCAGTGAATTAGCTTCCTCTGCAGTAGCTTGACAGATTAGGATATGCTTTTGAGATGGACTGTTCACTTAGAATCGAGCCAGATCTTCCTTTTGTACGTGCCATGCAAGTCTGATCTTATGAAGTGAAGTGAATGCCTCCACATCCGTTTTATGTATTCTTGTTATATTTTTCACATGTTAATTACGTATATTGGAATCACTTTTCAAAAACAGAGAAAGAAATATAAAACATCGATAAATAGTATGAAAAATAACATTATCACGTTTTCAAAACTTCGAAAATTGATATACCATTTATCACCGTAAACTTCAAAGAGAGGAAAAAGCCGTAATTATTAATAGTTAACCGTAAAAGCTGGTCGTATATTGTATTCTGGTCAGTCACAAGTGAACAATTTAACTGAACCACTCAAATCTATATATTGAACCGAGATGAACCAGATTACCCTGCTTTATTTCGACCTAAAAGTAAAAAGTAAACTAATATTGAAAAACTATGAGTGACCATCAAGTCAACAATAAAAGGATACATACCATGTACAATATGTATATCTATTATATAAAAACTCAGTGGGTCTCACAAGTGATTGACACTTCATCACCCCTCTCTCTGACACATCAGCATAAAACTTAATAAAAAAAAAATTAAACAAGTTTTATTTGTGGTGAATTCAATTTGGTCAAACCAAAAAGATAATTTTTCCCAAGCTTTTCTCCTACAATATTCAATCACTTTTATATTTCCAATGAAAAAATTGTTTAAATGTATGAAAGGGCCGGAAGCTTTGTCAATCCATGTGTCACTCTTTAGCAATTTTGTTGTTTCAGTAATCCATTCAGATCTCAATTCTCTTTTTATTGATTCCAAGCTTCTCTCGCCTGCTTTCCTCAAAAATACGTTTTCATTCTGCTTCTCTTCGTTTCCAAAGAATCAATTCCAGATTAGGGTTAGGTATTTTAGTTTCCATCGCTTCCGATTTTGATCGGATTTTTTTTTCCAGTCGCTTGCTCTATGCTCAAAGTTGTTTGTTTCTATTGAGTTTTGATTTCCATGGGGATTTCTCACGTTTTCTGCAGGTTCTTCCATCACTTTATGCTTCACAAGGGAGGTAGTGTTGCTAACGAGAACAGCGATAAAAGCATCAGCCCCGATTTAGCATCGTCGCCGAGTAAGAGACACCGTATCGATATCACTGATTCTACTGCGTCCGATAAGTCCTCCATTGTAGCTTCTGGTAGCAGCAGCAGCGGATAGCTTCGTCCAGCAGCACGAGATGGCTATTGCTAATTCCAACCGTCAGGAGATCGATGAAGATCTACACAGCAGGCAGCTTCATGTACGGACGTGAGATGATGAGGCGTCTCTTTGCTTCTAACGTGCTCATCTCTGGGATGAACGGCCTTGGAGCCGAGATTGGTATGCGTTTCTCGATGATGGTCTTCTTCGTTCTTTTGCTGTGAAGAATTGTTACTTCATCAAACGAGGCTATTCGACTTTGCTTTGTGGTTGCTAAGTTTTTGTTATCCTGATCTGTGATTCTTTTCTTCGACATCTTAATCTTAGTAGCTTTTGATGTTTCTTGATTTGCTTGAGGTTTCTAGACTTACCGACGGTCCCAAAACCGAACTCGATTTCTGAAAAATTCTGACGGTACGGAAATTTTAGCTTTCATTAGTTCTGTTGCTTAGTGTTTGAGCTTGAAAATGTTTGATCTTGGGCTTAGGGGAGTCAAATGAAACTGTAAAAGTCTGGAATTTTCGAAGCTGAATTCTGCAGAAATTCCTTCTAGATTTAAGTGTGTAAGTACTGATGTAACCGTGTGATGATTGATGGTTTTAATTGTTTCAGGTGACGGGGGCTCATACGATCGGGCATGTGGCAGCGACAGTGAGCATGTCCAAAGTGGCAGTGTCCTTCACACACATCATCAAAAGCGGTGAACCAGCCTTCAGCATCCTCGTCTCAAGTCTCTTCTTAGGCGACACATTCCCTCTGCCTGTTTACCTTTCTCTCTTGCTAATCATCGGAGGCTGTGCTCTCGCTGCAGTCACCGAGCTCAATTTCAATATGATCGGTATTTAAAAAAAAACATCCATTAATTGCCTTAAAAATGCTGTTGTAGTTCAGTAAGGTGTTCGATCTTATGCAAAATGTAAATTAAAAGGGTGTTTCTTGGTTTCGTTTTTCAGGGTTTATGGGGGCAATGATATCGAATTTGGCGTTTGTGTTCCGGAACATATTCTATAAAAATGGGTTGTAGAGGAAGTCAGTGAGTGGGATGAATTACTACGCTTGCTTATCAGTGAGCTTGAACTAAAGTCTCATCGATTCTTGTGAATGCTTTTGGTTGATGGTATGCATTTCTTGGTTTTTGAATCTCTGAACAGGCAAAGCAGTGAGGAGATGCGGTTTTCACAGGCGAGTTCGATGCACCGAAATTACTGAGAGCAGAGAACACGATAAAAAGAACATTCCTGTGAAGATCTCATGAGGGATATGTAAGCGTTGGATCTGAGCAAATGGAGTTGGAAGTCAACGGCTTAAGATCTTGGCATACTACTACGATATGTATAAAATAGTTTTTTTACCTTCTTGCTGTAGGATCCAAAGTTTAACTAATTGAATAATCTAGCTAAAAGCTTAGACAAGATCACTAAATATATTATATTTTCTGGTTGTTAATTTGTAACTTGAAGTCTACTTTGAAATAAACGTAGGTAATTTTTACAATTCTTTAGCAAAATAGGAAAACGAAAATTGAGAAATGGGGTTTGCTTTCAAGAGTTGATGTTTGGTAGAGTTGATGTTTGGTAGATTTTGAAGAAGTAATATTCATTCTTCTCGGTAATACTTATGGTTAGGTTTCGTATTCTGGTTTAGCTATTATATTTTTAATGAGTAAATAAAGATGATGTTTTTTTCTGAAATAAGACTATGTTTTGTCAAAAAGATAGTTACTCCATAGTTAGAAGTTTGTCATTTTGATAAAAATAAGATTCAATAGAGAAAATAGATGCAATCGGTAAGAAACATTAAAAAAATAACAAAATTTGCGTATTTGCGCGGGTAATCACTTAGATTTGAGATGATCGTGGACTACTTTATATGTGTTCATTTAAGAAAGTGAGTGACTCCAAAATAGAAAAAAAGATTATTTCTTTGTTGCTTTGTTGAATTCTGTGTAGATGTTGATGTTTCTGTATCTTCCAGCCAATAATATTTGTAAACAAAATTATCAAATAAAATATGTACTCTGTTGAAATTTTTTAAAGCATTTTATTAATTTGTTTTGTTTTTTATTTTGCCCATTTAATATTAAATAGAAACACAACCAAAAAAGTTCGAACAATCTAAAAAAAAGGAAATGGAAACGTTCTTTTTCAGAAATATTGGTTTTATGTACTTCGAAATCATTGTGGATGAACTATGGTATTGATTCGTCTTAATCCATCTTATAACAATATATTCTCTGTACACGAACTAAACAGCTTCCAGCGTTTCCTAATTATCGGAAAAAAACAACCGATTAGCATAACCGGATCTGATTCGGATAACCAGAGCTGGAAAAATCAAAAGAAAACACGAGAACAAACCTGTAGCAGAAGAGAGAGATCCACACGTCGCCTATGAGCAAGAGACATTGTAGTAAGAAGAAAAGGAAGAAGGGTTAAAGATGGGTTCCTTTTAAGAATAGCAGGTTCGAACACATGGCTCGAAGAACTTGAAGCTATATATTTTATTTTTATTATTAATTTTTATATTTATAAATTATAATTATAAATTTATACAAAACAATCCGTGTGAGGTCAGTAAACCCTGATTTGTGTCAAGTTAGTAATTTTTTTTGCTAATCTGTAACAAAATATATTTTATAGAATTATGTGTGAAAAATACGATTACAAAAAATTTGCACTTCGAATTAGAAATCATTGGACTGTAGAACCAAACTTCGAAACCAATGAAAGGGATGTTAGATTATGAAAATAAGACGTTGGATTTTCTATACTTGTTATATTAGTTTTAGTCTATATGTTAACGAATCACTATTATTGCTACATATTGGTCAACATGTGTTTTAACATTAGGGTTTTTATTTCTTTACATATTTCTAAACTACTGAGTTTTAGATGACATCAAACCAATTTTATCTTTTTTTTAGTAATTATTTCTGTTTTTAGGATTATAATCGATTATCAATTTATCTTGCAAGTTATAGATATTTTATTACTTTTGTAAACTTAAGTGATTTGTTTTTAATATAACATTATGAAAAAAAACTGTCTTCTTATAAGTTGAAAACAAAGAAATTTTAAAGAAAATTTTAATATGGAAAAAAATGAAAGAATGTATATATTATCTTTAACAATGTTTATATATTTATCTTGTTAATAAATTTAAAATTATTCTATCAATATATTTAAAATAAAATAATATATTAATTTTTTTTAAAAATATAATAAAATGTAATCCCGTGTGTACATGCGGGTCATCACCTAGTATACACTAATAACCCATCAATCAAAATCCCTAGCCGCTCAAAATGTCATTATGGTCTGTTCGTATTGCGACCAGGTTCTGCAAATCCTCGACCATTCAGGTTCCTCGGTTCCTCTCTTCTCATTTCCTTCTTCCTCGTTGCAATAGTGGCTTGAACAATTTACTGACAAGTACGGGAACTTCTCGTTTTCGTGCCATATGTCGTTGCTCTTCTTCGGTGTCGCAAAGTGATTCGAGGCACACGGAAAACACGAGCCGTTGTGCTCTTTATGCGACTCTTGACTCGGTGGTGGAAATCTTCTCCTTCTATAGCACGCCTAGCCTTCTTGAACCTTGGCGGCAGAAATGGCAGGGGCCAAGATACACGGGCGGTCCGGTATTTCCTCTCTAGTTTTTGGTTGTCTGCTTTTGTATAGTTTGACTTATATATCTTGCGGTGGAATTCTAATGTAGGATTTGTAATTTCCGGAAGGAGGATTCTTACAAACGCTCATGTTGTGGATTATGACGCATACGTTCAAGTGAGAAAGCATGGTTCATCCACTAAGTACGAAGCAATAGTTGAAGCGGTTGGGTTTGAATGTGACTTAGCCATCTTAGTTGTTGACAATGAAGAGTTTTGGGAGGATGTGAATCCTTTGGAGCTCGGAGACATACCCTTTATCGGCGAAACTGTCTCCGTTCTCGGTTATCCTGTTGGTACGTCTTGAACATAATGCTTCTGTATGAGTAACAACAAAATAACTTGACTAGATTTAGAAACAAGAGAACAAAGATTTGAAAATATGTATGGTGTTGACTATTGACTATTCCCTTAAAACAATTTCTTAAGGTAAATTCTTTTGAATTAATTAGGACCATGTTTAACTACTTTTTTTATGCACATGGTAAAAGACGGTCGTATATATGTGTGTACACATAAGAAATGACTAATGGAGTTATGCTAGGCGCTAAAATGCAGGTGGTGACACTATTTGTGTTACAAAAGGTATTGTATCGAGAGTTGAACCTATAAAATATGTTCACAGCTCCACCGAACTATTGACAATACAAACAGATGCGTGTATCGATTATGGAAATAGTGGTGGCCCAGTGGTCATAGGAAACAAAGTCGCTGGGATAGCATTTCAAGGTTCTACAAAGTTGGACAAGACAGAGTGAGTTGACATTTAAAATCTTGAGTTGTTTTTGTTGTTGTCAAGTGTCAAGTCCAATGTACAAAGTTCAAAAACTAATTAGATTAAATTGTCACAATAAGCGCAAGTATATTGAAATCTTTAAGTTTTGCAAACAAAAGGCTTTAACTAAACATTTTTTTTGCTGTGGTTTTTATTTGCAGCTACATGATCCCAACTCCAGACATTAAGCATTTTTTGAATGGTGTTGAAGAAAGCGGCTATTACATTGGTCCTAGTTCGCCGGATATAACGTTTCAACGTATGGAGAATGCTCAAATGCGTAAACACTTTAAAATGAATGATGAAATGACAGGAATACTTGTAAATGAAATCAATCCCGCGTCAGATGCTCATAGAATTCTGGAAAAAATGACGTCATTCTTGCAATTGATGGTGTTTCTATAGGAAATGATGAGAAAGGTAATATTTAGGGTTTTTTTTTTTTTTTTTATTCTTCTTAATATATTGCATCCATCTGGTGAATATCTCCATGTGTTGGTGAAGTGAATTAATATATTTGCGTTATGCAGTTCCTTTCCGGGGAAAAGAACGGATAACTTTCAATCATTTGGTTTCTATGAAGAAATCAGGTGAAACAAGTTTATGTAAAGTCTTAAGAGATGGAAGAGAGTATAAGCTCAGTATGTTAAGGATCAATCATATAATCAATTATGTAAAGTCTATATTCTCATTAAACATCAGTGTATACCCTAGCTCTCTCTCTCTTGTATATATTCATGAACTCTGTATTGTAAATGTATTCATTCAATATAAACCTTTACATGGTATCAGAGCCACGATCACTCAACCAAAAATTTCCAAACACATTTTCTTTTCTTCGATCAAATTCTCATCATGAGTATTCCAGTTAACAACAATCCGACGATCATTACCGACACCCCAGCCCTGCCACAATCCCTTCTTACCGTCAATATGTCCAACATAACCAAACTCAATTTAACAAACTACCTCATGTGGAGCCTCCAGGTTCATGCCTTGCTCGATGGTTATGATCTAGCGGGTCATCTCGATGGCTCCATCGTCACACCAGTTCCTACAGTCACCACCGGTGATCAAATCTCCGTCAATCCATTATTCACACTCTGGAAGCGTCAAGATAAACTTATCTACAGTTCGCTCATAGGCGCCATCTCGCCAACACTACAGCCGCTTGTCTCTCGTACAACAACATCCACAGAAGTCTGGAAAACCCTTGCATCTACATATGCAAAACCGAGCCGTGGTCATATTAAGCAACTCAAGACCCAACTGAAAAACTGGAAAAAGGAAAACAAGACAATAGACGAGTATCTTCAAGGTGTTACGACTCGTCTTGATCAGCTTTCCATACTTGGAAAAGGAGTCGATCATGAAGACCAGATTGATCTCATTCTTGAAGGTCTGTCAGATGATTACAAACCCGTGATTGATCAGGTTGAAGGAAGAGATGTCCCGCCATCCATCACTGAGCTACACGAGCGTTTACTCAATCATGAAGCTAAGTTACTTTCCACCAATGAGATCCTCATTCCTCACACACCAATCTCGGCTCACAATGTCCAACATCGCTACAACAACAACAATTACCGCAGTCAGAATCGCCCAAAGAACAACACAAATCAATGGCAGCAACAGTTGAATCAACATCAATGGCACTCTGTACCACAACAAAACACAGAACAGAGAGGCTCAAGACCATACCTTGGCAGATGTCAGATCTGTGGTATACAAGATCACAGCGCAAAGAGGTGCTCCAAACTCTCGATGTTTCAAGCTAACTCGAGTCAGCAGCCGTCAAACCCATTCAAACCATGGAACCCAAGAGCTAATCTCGTCATGAATACTCCCTACACGGCAAACGACTGGATCTTGGATAGTGGCGCTACTCATCACATCACCTCCGATCTCAACAATCTCTCACAACATCAACCATATCGTGGTGGTGATGATGTGATCATCGCAGATGGGTCTACCATTCCTATCACAAAAACTGGTGTCACTACTCTCTCTACTTTTAATCGTACATTAGATCTAAATAAAGTTCTATATGTACCTGATATTCACAAGAGTCTCATCTCAGTCTATCGGCTGTGCAATGCTAACAAAGTCTCTGTCGAATTTTTCCCCAATTCTTTTCAGGTGAAGGATCTGAGTACGGGGGTCCAGTTGATCTGCGGCAAAACTAGAAACAAATTATATGAGTGGCCAATGATAAAGGCTCCGGCTCAAGCACTTTCTACATCTACGACAGCAGCAGCAACTCTATCTTCATGGCATGCTAGACTGGGTCATCCGCCTTCCTCAATTCTAAACACTATCATTTCAAGTTTTTCTCTTCCTATTACAAAACAAACTCCTAAACCTTTGTCCTGTACTGATTGTTTAATCAATAAAAGCCACAAACTTCCTTTCTTTCAATCCACAATTATTTCTACAAGACCCTTTGAGTATCTCTATTCTGATGTATGGAGCTCACCTATTCTCTCTATCGATAACTATAAATACTATGTGGTTATCATAGATCACTACACCCGCTATACCTGGATGTATCCCCTCAAACAGAAATCACAAGTCAAAACCACATTTCAAACCTTTCAAAACCTTGTTGAAAACCACTTTCAAACACGGATCGGTACCTTTTACTCTGATAATGGTGGGGAATTTGTGGCTTTACGGGAATATTTTACAGCAATGGGAATCTCTCACCTCACGTCCCCTCCGCACACACCTGAGCACAATGGCATATCTGAGCGGAAACATCGGCATATCGTTGAGACAGGACTCACTTTACTGTCCCGTGCATCTGTTCCCAAAACGTTCTGGCCTTTCGCTTTTGCAGCTGCTGTATACTTAATCAATCGTATGCCAACTCCAATACTCTCCATGACTTCACCGTATCAGAAGCTATTTCAACAATCGCCTAATTATACAAAACTCAAGGTGTTTGGTTGTGCGTGTTTTCCATGGCTTCGACCCTACAGTCGACATAAATTAGAGGATCGATCGCAGGAATGTATCTTCTTGGGATATTCTATGACCCAAAGTGCGTACCTATGCTATCATAAGCCTTCTGCTCGGCTGTATGTCTCCAGACATGTCCGTTTTGAGGAGCAGCGTTTCCCGTACAATCGCTCCAATGAAGCTCCTCCACGCAACACTGAACATACTGCATCACCGGAAAATTGCTGGCCGGCACATACAGAACTCCCCTCGTCGCAGAAAGATATGCCGCAGATGAACCCTTGCTCAGATCTTCACCCGCAACTGTCATCATCTCTGTCAACGTCGTCTTCTTCGCAGGTATCGTCCTCTAACCCAAACACTAATTCTGTTTCCTCCTCCTCTGAGCCCATTGCTCCCCCACAAAATGGGCCGCAACCCACGGCCCAGCCAACCACCACAAATGCCAACAACCTACATGTTCAACAACCAAACCAATCTTTAATTCACCCGACCCAAAACACGTCTCCAACTACAGTCACAAATTCACTATCCTCAATGGCCCAACAAAGTCACCAAAACCCAACACTCTCGGCCCAAACAGAATCCTCCACCCAAAATAACCCACAGCCCACCGTTTCTAACTCACATACCCCGTCTTCTTCTTCCTCACAATCGTCTGCGCCACCGCCTCCACCACCTCCACCACCCCCAATCAATCCCCGAAACAACCACAACATGGGCACTCGAGCAAAGCAAGGTATTGCTAAACCAAATCCCAAGTATGCAAAGGCTGCTACATTATCCTCAAATGCCACGCCACGTACGGCGATTCAAGCTCTTCAAGATGAGCGGTGGAGGAAAGCGTGTGTCTCGGAAATTAACGCTCAAATCGGCAATCATAGCTGGGATCTTGTGCCACCGCCTCCGTCTGGTGTCACTATCGTGGGTTGCAGATGGATTTTCACAACAAAATATAACCCTGATGGCTCTGTCAACAAATACAAATCCCGCTTGGTTGCCCGAGGCTTCAATCAAAGACCGGGCTTAGACTACGCTGAAACCTTTAGTCTGGTGGTCAAGTCCACAACAATTCGAATCGTACTTGGTGTAGCAGTGGATCGTAATTGGTCAGTTAGACAGCTAGATGTAAACAATGCGTTTCTGCAGGGGACTCTCACCGATGAAGTGTAGATGACACAACCCCCTGGATTCGTGGATGCTGATCGTCCCAACCATGTCTGTCGACTACGGAAAACTATTTACGGACTTAAACAAGCACCGCGAGCCTGGTACGTAGAATTACGAACTTTTCTCCTAAACTCTGGTTTCATCAATTCAGTTTCGGATACATCTCTTTTCATATTAAAGAATGGTGGATCACTGGTATACATTCTAGTATATGTTGATGATATTTTAGTGACTGGAAATGATGCGGTATTGATACAACAAACTCTGGACGCTCTGGCTCAACATTTCTCTGTCAAAGATCACGAGGAGCTCCATTACTTTCTCGGCATCGAAGTCAAGCGCACCTCCGCAGGCCTTCACTTGAGCCAACATAAGTATATCACTGATCTTCTTACTCGGACAAACATGCTTAATGCAAAACCTGTCTCAACACCGATGGCATCGGCTCCGAAACTGTCCCTTTATTCTGGAAACAGACTTTCTGATCCGATGGAGTACATAGTGGTGGTTGGCAGTCTTCAATACTTGGCATTCACAAGACCGGACCTCTCTTATGCAGTGAATCGATTGTCGCAATTTATGCATCTTCCAACCGAAGATCACTGGAATGCTGTGAAGAGGGTTCTCCGCTATTTAGCGGGCACTTCAGATCACGGGATCTTTCTCCGAAAAGGAAACAACACAGTCCTTCATGCTTTCTCGGACGCTGACTGGAGAGGTGACTATGATGATTGTGTGTCTACAAACGGCTATGTTGTTTATCTCGGTTCCCATCCGGTGTCCTGGTCATCCAAGAAGCAGAAGACAGTTGCTCGTTCCTCTACTGAAGTGGAGTACAAGTCTGTCGCTAATACCTCATCCGAAATTCAATGGGTATGTTCACTTCTTAAAGAACTATACATTCCTTTGCCTGCGACACCAGTCATCTACTGTGATAATGTAGGGGCTACATACTTATGCGCGAACCCAGTTTTCCACTCTCAAATGAAGCATGTGGCCATGGATTATCATTTCATCCGGCATCAAGTACATTCAGGGGCGTTACGGGTCACACATATATCCACCAAAGATCAGTTAGCGGATGCTTTCACCAAACCGTTGCCACGAGCTGCATTTACACATTTTATGGGCAAGATTGGCCTTTCCAAAGAACCTTCATCTTGAGGGGGGATGTTAAGGATCAATCATATCAATGATTAATTCAATCATATAATCAATTATGTAAAGTCTATATTCTCATTAAACATCAGTGTATACCCTAGCTCTCTCTCTCTTATATATATTTATGAACTCTGTATTGTAAATGTATTCATTCAATATAAACCTTTACACAGTATCCGTTTCAGACCCGTAGGTCATATACTACTTTTGCTAGTGAACTATATTTGTTATTAGAACTTTGTGACTTTTTTTTTTGTTTTCCCGTCCATTCCAATAATTAAATTTATTACCCACAAGTCTAGTTCTTGTTTGATCGTTGCTTCGCATGGAGAATAATCAAAAAAAAAAAAAAAAAATTACGCAGGTTAATCGGCTAGCTCCGGTGCGCCAACTTGATCCAAGTTATTACATATTTGCGGGTTTTATCTTTGTGCGTCTCTCTGAGGAATTCATTGGTTCTCGTAGAACCATATGTAGCCGTTGTGCATGGAAAAGGAAGGACAACTCCAATTTCATACAAGAGATTGTCATAATTTCTCAGGTTTGTGCATTTTTTTTACCCAATACAAATTGAAATTTTGCTACGTTACAAAAACAAAAATAACTTAATGTTGTTGTTAGAGGAATTGAGGATAACTTGAGCTTACATGGTCCCTCTTTATATCCTATATATTTTCTTGGCCATTTAAGCATGCCTAGATATTTGAGTTTCAACTATATGTAAATAACAATGTCTTCTTGGCTATTTTGGTATCATGAGTTAAAGAGTTTGATTTTTTTTTTCTTTGGGGTGCAGGTGCTGTTCGATAAGATCAACATAGGATACGCTGATTTCACAGACTTGCAGGTAACTCATTTATTGCTTACTTTCAGTTAAAAGTCCCAAACACCATGAGTTGTACTCACTTTGATTCTACCATTGATCATGTGTGTCTTGAGAATCAAGAAATATAGTTTTGCCTAATTCCTATCCGTCTATAATTTTTCGTGTCATGAATAAGGATAAATATTTATGGGGTAAACAGGTGGAGAGAGTGAACGGAGTTGAACTAAAGAATATGCAGCAACTACGTAAGCTCATAAAAAGCTGTCGCACCGAGGATTTGAGGTTGGACTTGGAAAAGGGAAAGGTTATTGTCCTCAACTATAAATCTGCAAAAGAAGAAAGTTGGTTGATCTTGAAACGTTATGGAATAGCATCGCCAACGTCCCGTTAAGTAAAAGTATTTATATACATTCATATATATGTCGCTGTAATGTATAAGGATTGGTGTTGGAATTCACAATTTATAAATTACACATTTCCAAAATAAAGAAAAAGACAAAGTCGGATCGAGCATGCACGGTGTTTGCAATGCGGAGACTCGTCTCGATCTTTCACTTGACACCTTGCTCACATTTTTTAAACTTTCGAAACACCTAATCCAAACAAAACTCTCCTGCATGTTTTTGTCCCCATGTGCCCACACACAACCACCTCATGCTTATTACACGTAAATGCCATGCAAAACTCCTTCATCTTCCATAAATAACCCTATTATTTTCACTTCACTTCATCATCATCACTCACCAAAAACCTATAAAAAAAAACTCAAACAAAATGGCTAAGCTCAGTCTCGTTTTCGCAACTCTCGCCCTCTTCGTGCTCTTAGCCAACGCTTCCGTCTACCGCACGGTCGTTGAGTTCGAGGAAGAAGATGACGTCAGCAAACAAATGCGTCCACAACAAGGTAAGTGCCAAAGGGAGTTTATGCAGCAACAGCAGCTAAGAGCTTGCAAGCGATGGATCCGCAAGCGAGCTCAGCGAGGAAGAATCGGATACGAAGCTGATGACTTTGAGCTCACTCTTGATGTTGATCTTGAGGACGATGAGAACCAAATGCCTCAACGTCAACAACCAGCTCTTAGAATGTGTTGCAAAGAGCTAAGACAAGTGGACAGGATGTGTGTGTGTCCTACACTGAGACAGGCGGCTCAACAAGTTAGTCTCCAGGGAACGCATGGGAAACAACAGATGAGACACATGTTTAGGACTGCCAAGAACTTGCCTAACATCTGCAACATCCCTGCTGTTAGATCGTGCCAGTTCAAGGCAACTCCTTACTAAAGAACATGAGAAGGACACGCCTTTATAAATCGTATGCGTACACATGGTGGTTTTTGTTGATGACAATAAAAAAAAAAAAAAAAAATCTCACTATTGTGGCGTGTACGTGTTTATATCGTAAAATTGTTATGTACTGTTTGAGTCAAGAGTTTTAGTGGCGATATTAATTACACCGTTTAGTGTAATAATGTAACTTGCCGTACTCCTTTAATAAAGATATCTCTTGGGTTCTGAAAATCTTTAGCATCATCACGCTTTCTGACTCTGTGATCATATATATATATGTGTGTTGTAAGAAATTATTGGGAATTATGATGTAATCGTATACTTGCAAGATCCACTTAACTAATACTAGAAGCTTGTGACAAAAATGATATTTTGACTCAAGAAACTGTTGTGTTATGCAAGCGTTTACAAGAAAGTGCTTAGTGTGGAGTTTTCTCTTGATCTTGATATAATTAATGTTAACTACACAAGAGTTAATTTCTTTTAGTTATAATTAGAAAGGTTTGGAAAATTGACAAATGCTAAGTCATGAAACTGACCAGCTACTCACGCTAGAAATAATAACAAACAAGAATCAGAAGCTAAGCTTGTGTAATTAGAAGCTAAACTGTTTCTTCATTCTCTCCAATGCCAGATACTTGAACCAGACACAAATTTGTCAAAGAGGGGAAAAAAAGCTCCTTATAGGCCTAACACGGGCCGAATCTTAAACTCCACACTATTAAAATTGCGTACCGTATTGTCTACGGTCAGTAGTTCTGAGCTAGTGATTGGTTTAGCTGAACCAGTTAAATCTATATTAAACCGAGTTGTACCAAATTAGTTTATCTTTAACCAATAAACTAATTAACAAAAGTAAACTAATCAAATTCTTCATCTAAGACTAGCGCACGTCACGGAATAAAATAAGAAAGACTAATGCACGTCGTACTAAATTTTGGTGGATTTGATTGGTTCAATCTCGGCTCGTTACAATTGATTGATGTAAAATATACAATGGACAGTAAAAGTAGAACTTTGAAACTCTCTATCCAAACAAGAATTAAAACCTATTTCAATTAAATATTTAGGTTTGTTCGGTTTAATTATTGGTATAAGAACCAATAAAACCGACATTCACAATTATTTATTTAAATAAATAGGGAAAGAGACGTGGAAGGTGAGTCTCTCTCTCCGCTCTGTAGTAAATACAAAGACGATACGTAAAAGAGATCTCTTAATCCTATTTTTCTGTTTTTTTTTTCACATTAAAAAAATATAAATAAGAAAAGAAAAAAAATCATTTATGAAGTTTGAAACAGCTTTCGTCTCTTAGGTCTTCGCTCTCTTATCCTAAAATCTTTCCCCTTTCTTGCTCCTAAACGTTTCCAAAGTCGTAATCAGATTCCTGCTTCGGGACACGCTAAATTCCCTTTTCTGGGTTTCAATTCGCGTTTTTCCAGTTTCAAATTCTTTCTCAATTTACCTCTCCCGATTCCAGCAATAACACGAATTTGTTGCTTCATTTCTTCGTTTTTTTTTTCGTTCTTTCCGGTTTTAGGTAAATACATCGTCTTCTTTAGCGATTCATCTCAAGTATTTTCAGTTTGATCGCTGATTCTTTGTTCTGGGTTTTGCAAATATTCAATTTTTATTTTCTGTTTCCCTTGATCAAAGCTTTGATTGTGTCTCGGTGTTTTCTTGCTTCGGGACAACTTGAAGAAGAAGCAAATTTCGAGTTTGCGTGTATATTGTTTTTTCTTTTTTAGATTCCAATTTCATTTCTAAATTCTCTCATTCAGTAAATAAAAAAAAATTCTCGAGCAATTTGTTCAATTTGGGTACTTTTCTTGGAGATTTTCAATTGGAATTATCCCTCCCTCTTTCTCGGATATTCCGTCGTGAAAGATTTTCTTGGGAAAAATCTCAGGGCGCAGAACTATAGAAACTTTGTTTGATCGGAGAGGCTAACGATCAAGGCTAGATAGTGAAAGGAGTTCACCGTCATGAGGAAGAACGGCGACGGTTCTCCGAAGCAGGCGACTTCAGACGGAGTTGTGTCGCGATCAGCTCGGAGCTCGTTTCGCGCTTTGTCTAACTGCATTCGGGTGATTTCCTCTGGTGCTTCCACCGTTGCTCGCTCCGCCGTATCCGCCGCTTCTTCCGCCGTTAATCACGACGCTGATTCTCTTCACGATCAGGTAAACAAAATTGCTTCATTTCGGAACAAATATAGTATGAAATCTGGTTAGGTGTTTGTGTGGCTTTGAACTTTAACTGCGTTATTAGTCTAAGTTAAGAGCTTGTTACAATGGGTGAAGTTTCTTGCCGGTTCTTGGGGTAAAAACATGCTTATGTTTCTTTTTAGGTGACAAGAAATCATTTTGTGGGTTTATGCTTCATCCTTAAAAGATCGATCTTTAGGTTTGTCTTTCTGAATCTTTGGGTTAGTCTACTGAGAAGTTATGAACATGTTTTTGATGCGAAAAGGTACTATGGGCTGGGTTTGATAAGCTAGAGAAAGAAGATGGCGATACTCGGAGAGTTCTTCTACTAGCATTTCACTCTGGATTTCAAATTTGGGATGTGGAAGAAACAGAGAACGTCCACGTTATAGTCTCTGCGCATGATGGACAAGCATCCTTTATGCAAATGCTACCGAACCCATTATACTCTGAAGTTTCAGGCGACATGTTCTCTGAGAGCCGTCCGCTTTTGGCTGTGTGTGGTGACAGTTCTTGGGAAGAGAATTCAAACAGACAGAGCACTTCTGACACCACCGGAAGCGAAACAGCGGTTCCTACAAATCTGCATGTCTACTCGGTAAAGTCTCAGTCTTATGTGCATACGCTAAGATTCCGGTCTATCATCTACACGGTTAGGTGCAGTTCTCGGATTGTTGCTGTGCTACAATCAGCTCAGGTTCGAAAATTGTCATATTGTCTCGGTTTTGTGTTCGTGTGATTTATCTGTTCTGAAACTAACAATGTGTAAATTAAAACAACACGTGTTTGCAGATACATTGCTTTGATGCTAAAACATTGGTAAAGGAATACATGATAGTCACTAACCCCATCGCTTACGGCTCCTTGGGTGTTGGATATGGTCCTCTTGCTGTTGGTCCACGGTGGATTGCTTATAGCGCAAGTCGTATCGCTGAGTCAAGCTCCGCACATTTCACTTCAGAGCTTATCACAGTGCCATCATCACCTAGTGTTGCACAGTTTGCAAGAGAATCGAGCAGGCAGATCGCTTCTGGGATCGTGACTCTTGGAGACAAAGGGTACAAGTCACTCTCTAGGTACTGCTCAGAGGTTCTGCCCAATCCGTATATCCCTGGTTTGAAAGGCATTGGAGTTGCTAATGAGAATGTGCAGGACGCTGATAGCATAGGAATGGTAAAACTCCAAATATCCTTCTCGGGTTGTTTTTGCTCTTCAAGTTGATTTTTTCATTTGATCTGTGCTTTAAGCATTTTCTATGGTGTGTGTGTGCAGGTTATAATCAAAGATACCATAAGCAAGAGCATCGTAGCGCAGTTTAAGGCACACAAGAGTCCGATTTCAGCTCTGAGCTTTGATCCAAGCGGCATGCTTTTGGTGACTGCTTCAATTCAGGGACACAATATTAACGTCTTTAGAATAATGCCTAGATCCTCTACAAGCAGTGATGCTGCGACCACACCGTCCTTTGTGCATCTGTTCAGGCTTCAGCGCGGTTTTACTAATGCGGTAAGCAGAGCCCTTTTCACTTACGCTTATTGAGAAAATCTGACGTCTTTCATTAACCTTGGTGAGATTTTTTCCAGGTGATACAAGACATCAGTTTCAGCAATGACAGCAATCTGATAGTGATTAGCTCTTCGAGAGGGACAAGTCATCTGTTTGAGATTGATCCCGAGGGACAAGGGAATGCTCCGGTTCCTCTATCAGCGATTAATAGGATAAGAAGCGGGAACAGCAGCGGATGGGTTGGAACCATGAGCGGTGCTGCGGCTGCAGCAGCTGGTATGGTTGGAGGCAATCTTCCGGGCGCAATCTCATCGGCTTTCTGTTACTGCGATGAACAGAGTAACAAGAACCACTATGGTTCTACTGCTTCTGATAACAATAGGCTTAAGAGGAATCTTCTGGTTTTTGCTCCTTCTGGATGTATGACACAGTATGGATTAAAGGCAGATACGGTTGGGGCTGGTCATGAGACTGCGGTGATGACAGGGTTTGATTTTGAGTCGGGTTCAGAGACTGAAGGGAAAGTAGGGGTTGAGCCAATACGGAGGTGGTCCATGGTCCAAAACCAATCTAGAAGAGAGATGCAAGATCAGCAGAGTGACATTTATGGAGGTGGAACAGCTTCGGATTCAAAGAGCAAAGTGTTTCCGGAGATTGTTAGAAAGCAGAGTGCTGAGGAATCTTGGAAAGTAAGTAAGAAAGGAAAGGGACGTGTGGAGGATAAGCATCAGCTGTATATTTCTGAAGCAGAGTTGCGAATGTATCAGCCGTCTCAGCAGCTACCGTTATGGGCAAGGAGAAATGTAAAAGTTTCTTCTCTTTTTTTTTGACAGAGAATGATCTGAAAAGTGGTAATGTGTTGTGTGGATCTCTCTCATACTTTGTATTATTGCATCAAAACAGTTTAGGTTTCAAGAGCTGGTGTTGGATCTGAATGATGAGAGTAGCCGCGGAGAAGGAGGGGAGATGGAGATTGAAGGATTCCAAACTCGAACAATTGAAGCGAGAACTAGAGATTTGGTTCCAGTCTGGGGTTTTCTCCATTCTCCAAAGACCCAACAAGTGATGAGAGAGTGAGTTTTCTGAATCTGATTATACTCTACGCTTTTAGGTTTTTCTATTTGGTCTGTGGTCACAGTCTCTTGACGCTAATATTATTCCACAGATCACTGCAGAGTCCAAGGAACATTACACAAGGTGATCAAGTGGCTCCGCCACAGGGTCATGGAACAGAGACTGAGATCGGAGATGTACATAGCAAGGAAGAGAGATTGAGATCAGAAGAAGAGAGCTCGAGATCTGAAGAAGAAGATAGCACGATATCAGAAGAAGACACCCGAAGCAACCCTGTAAATGATGAAGACGAAGGTATTGCAGAGGAGAAGAATGATAGTGAAGAGGAGTTGGAATAGAAGAAGGTGATGTTGTTATTGGTTTATTTTTTTCACCGCAAACTCAGCTTCAAAGTTCAACAGACAGAAGAAGACGAAAATAACTCTTGAAAATTGTATAGAAAAAAGGAAACGAAAATTGACATATCTTGTAGTTGTAAATAGAAAATGTATACTTTTCTTTTGTTACGGATCATTATTGGCCTATTGAATTCTTCAACTACATATTCTTGGATGTAAACAAAATAAAAAATAAGTTGTTAACACTTTTTACTGCACCGTTTATTAAGTTTCGAAAGAACAGAGATATTTTGAACCAAAAAAAAGGAAAGAAAAGAGATACAAATAAAAACTAATTTTGATTAGAATCAAAGAGCCATGCAAAGTCATTTAACTTAACTAAACTAACTTATAAACAGACGGAGTTAACTTAACAAAAGTAATGGTGTATTAAATTTCTGGCTTCGGTACATGATTTGCACTAGATTAAGTTAGGTTTTGTAAGTTTGTTGAAGTATAATATAGTAATTATTTTTTAATTCACATTTGAATACAGATTGTGTAACTTCAACTGGAATTTCAAATTGTTTTATTTTAAATTTCTGGTTTTTCAGTACAACACCGTTTGATTTGGTAATAAACTAAATTAAGTTTTTGTTCACATCAGCTCTTGCAAACTTATTAGTGATTAAAGTGTAGAATAAGATGTTAATCAATTTTTAATTTGCATTTGAAGACAAAATCGTATAACTTTGATTGAAAATTTAATGTTTTTCTTTGGCACTTGGCGAATTTACTTTTTGTTTACAGAACTATTGAAATATTTGAGAATAACTTTTCCCCAGTTTGAATTCTACTTAAAGTTGACTAGATTTATTCCTCTGTGGTCTAAATTGTCTATCCAGGAACTACTGAATATCTTGGACATAAACCTTTTCGAAGAAAATGGTAGAGGTGATATAAGGAATATGGTAGCATTTGCTGAGACGCTTCACGAAGAAAGAACTGTAGACAAGCATTTTTCTTCATTTACTGAAGTGATTCTGCCTAATATTACAAAAACTTTGGTATTTTCTTTAGCTTTATTTAAATTTACAAGTATTAGATTTTGTGTTATAATAGAGATATTATATGTTAGTTATTATTATTTTATTTTAAATTTTTTTCAAATATACATTTCGTATCTGTCAATTTATCACAGTTAAAAAGTTTTATGAAATGGATCATGTCGATGAAGTTTCTAATTTCCAGAACGTTTGATTTCATAAAATTTTTATAAAAGTTTTTCTTGAAATAATAAAAACTTAGTTTTTATGTGAGACCTTGTAAAAATTTTACTCTTACCTCAGCAATTTATTATATAATATACCTTAATTACAGTCTCGCACATTCATTGTTCAAAAATCTTCCAAAGTAGACTACTTAACTTACTTCCATTTTGTGTCACCTGAAATAAAGAGAGGCTTATCAGTTGAAAATCAGATTCAGTGGAAGAATGAAATAAAAGAGCATTCTTGAGAGAGAATGCTGTCGAAATGTTGATTGAATAAATATTTACATTTTCAAATCAGAGCAAAAAATCACGAGAACCCCCTTTCCATAAGAGAGATCAACTACAAATCTATGTCTAACCGTTCAAAACTCTAGACTTAGTCAAGAAAATATAGTGAATAAATCACATTGAAAACAGAACAAATATTTTTATTTATACGACAATAAAACTTGACTGTTAATTCAGTTATTTGTGAACTTGATGAAAATAATAACTCCAAACAAGTAAGAAAAAAAACCGGAGATACAATTATATCAAACATTTGATGCACATGCAGGACATGAGAGAGCATCATAAAAGTAACCCAAAACAAGTCGAACTTGGGACACTCACCCTCAGTATGTGCATATCAATCTCACAGAGAAAATACAAAAATTGAGGATTTGATGTTTTTAAGATTTAAGTGAAAAGACAGGCTCAGACTCAATTCCAAAGTACTATTATGTTTTGAGGTGGAATGTGGTAAGGGACACTGAATCTAAAGAAGAAGAAAAAAAAACAAATTTAATAGTTAACTTTCGAGATCTTGGATTACTGAAATTCATTCTCTCAACCAAAATATCATAAATCAAATATAATGTTAGAATTCATGATAACCAAAACATCGTGAAGATTTATTAGATATGTACTACGATCTATCCTGATATGTATTATAGTCAATATAGATTAATGAGAAGTTATATGTAATTTAGATGTTGCTTTTATATATGAGAGAATATATCTACCTAAATGCATTTAAAATGATATGTTCATGGGAACAGATATGTTTTTGTTACTTAAAACATGCGATTTTTTGTTAATTTTTACCTGATTTGACTTTAGAAATTACAATTGGACATAGCTCGTGGTTTACAACATCGATGAAACAACAATAGAAGTCACCGCCAAGAACAAAGATGAGGTGATTGGATTTCCTTATAGCTACAGATATATACAGCTCAAAGTAGATAGAATCCAAAGAGAGAATTAGAGATGCAATTGGAGGCTTTGCAAAGAATATGCAATCACCGTTGTTGACATGTTTTTCTTCCACTCTGTCTTCTTAGAAATGTGTGTAACCATTTTAGAACCAAGATACACAAACAAAACCTCCTAATGTCACGCAAGAGATAGCAAGAATGGCGTAACATAACCATCTTGTTCCTCCAAAGTGTGGTACAATTATCCAAGCCGCGGCTACATAAGCAGTAAGTAGTAACCATGGATGAAACCGCAACCCACATCATCCGATGTGTTATAACCAAGAAATTCATGCGTGGTTTCGTCTTGTACTGTAAGGTATCATGCAAGAACTTCTTGAAACCGAACCAGCAGATTTAACATTCTAAATCATTTGGTAGTTTTCACCAATCTAATTCTTTTTATTTAATTAATTATCCATATTGCTTCAAAGACTTTGTTTAACACATTTTTGCTGCAACGAGACATATATACATATATATATATATGGACGATTTTGAAGACAAATATATTATTTAGTAGTCTGATTTTTTGTAGTCTAATTTTACCAAGTAATCTTGAAAACAAAAACACAACTTCAAAAAGTATAGGTACTCAACATTCTATATCAGTACTACTCATCACTATTCATAATTAGTCTCTATTTAATTTGTTTATTTACTTTTATCGTTAGCCCCTAACTCGAACACATGATTCTTTTTTTAATTAGTATTAATTTATCCAAAGGAAAATGATTCGTTTGTTGTTGTAATATTTAAGCTTCAAAACAAACATAGGAAAAACACTGAGAAATAATCAGTTCTACTATATTGGATTGAAATGGTTAATGGGATCTCATAGAGGTTGTAGACCTAGGCCCAAAATGAGTCCAGAACTAGCAGAAACTAAAACGTACAAAAAAATTACAAAGGAAAAGCAAAACTGATAAGAAAAACGTGAAAACTATAAAGACTTCTTATTTGGGTGGGGCTAAATAGAAAAGTTAAGGAAAAAAAAAGGTACCTATAGAAATTAGAGAGGAAATTAGTCCTCAAAAAGTAAATTCTGAAGTTGAAGCTCCAATGTCTTTGTTCAAAGACTTTATTTAGAGGTAAAGCTATGTCTTGTAACCACCAAACAGCTCCTTTTCATCTACACTTAATTTTTTTTTTTTATCATCTGTGTGTGTTGCCTTGCTTTGACTTGTCCTTTCTCTCTCCAACTTCCCTCCTTCAACATAAAGCCAAATCCTTAAACCGAAATCTCCAGACCGAACCGACCAATACCGATAGAAACCGGATTACGGATAATGGAACACCAATATAGTTCATATATTAACGATATTACGGTTTAGAAATCATAAGAATGGTGTGATACTCCTCAATTTTCCAATTCGAGTACATAACCGAGTGGTATCTCTGAGTAACCCGGAATAAACCGAATTAAGTTTTTCATGCAAATACAAAAATAAAACCCATCACATATAAACCGTAGTGTTTCTACTTCTAACAAACACACATCTCTTTTTTCTCCACATGAAACATCAGATACGATCTGCTATTAATAACCTAAACACAAAGCAAGGTTAGGTAAATGACATAGACCCTTTTGAATAATCATACAATACATAACAACGTAAGATCCATTTTCTCTCTTACGGACATCCATCTCCTCCTTTCAGACAAAACCCACATTCAGAAAAGACAAAGACATAAACATAAACATAAACAGAGAGATGCAACTGCATATATCTCCGAGCTTGAGACATGTGACGGTGGTCACAGGGAAAGGGTTAAGAGAGTTCATTAAAGTGAAGGTGGGTTCGAGAAGATTCTCGTATCAAATGGTGTTTTATTCTCTTCTCTTCTTCACTTTTCTTCTCCGATTCGTCTTCGTTCTCTCCACCGTCGATACCATCGACGGCGATCCCTCTCCGTGCTCCTCTCTTGGTAAGTTTTTCTTGTTCTTATCTTCTTATTTTATTTTAACTTTTGGAAATGAGCACCGTCGATAAGATAAGAACAACTTACTTACTGTAATTATAAAAATATGTCAAGAGAATAGCAATTTACTTACTGTAATTATAAAATATGTCAAGAGAATAGCAATTTACTTACTGTAATTTACGGATTAAGAAAATTTTAGATAATTTCCTTACAAATTTGTGCTCATTTCCTTACAATTTGTGCTCATTTCCTTTAATTGTACGAAAAACACAAGTTACTTTTTTTCAATCATTTAAGCCATACACGTAGTCGAGCTAATAAACTTATCCTAAAGTTTGTAAACGAAGATATCGAAAAAGTTCTAGAGATTTATGCCCAATAATGAATAATCCAAGAACTGGTCGGTTTGCTTCAGGTTTATTTTGTAGTGTAAATATATGGTCGAGCTTAATAAAAATATTTATAAACGTTCCAAGATGCTCAATAGAGAGAAAATTAGTTAATCTAATATTGAAAACATTATTATCTAAATATATATGAGACAAAAGTTTTTTTTTTTCCCTTCTAATTAACAGCTTGCTTGGGAAAAAGACTAAAACCAAAGCTTTTAGGAAGAAGGGTTGAGTCTGGTGTAAGTTCTCTAACTTCAGTTTCAGACTATTGAACACAATTTACATTTACTGTGGTTAAAAAGGTTAATATTCTTTGGTTAATTTATTTAGAATGTTCCGGAAGCTATGTACCAAGTTTTGGAACAGCCATTAAGTGAAGAAGAGCTAAAAGGAAGATCAGACATACCTCAAACACTTCAAGATTTCATGTCTGAAGTCAAAAGAAGCAAATCAGACGCGAGAGAATTTGCTCAAAAGCTAAAAGAAATGGTGACATTGATGGAACAAAGAACAAGAACGGCTAAGATCCAAGAGTATTTATACCGACACGTCGCATCAAGCAGCATACCGAAACAACTTCACTGCTTAGCTCTTAAACTAGCCAACGAACACTCGATCAACGCAGCCGCACGTCTCCAGCTTCCAGAAGCCGAGCTGGTCCCAACCTTAGTCGACAATAACTACTTTCATTATGTCTTGTCTTCAGACAATATTCTTGCCGCTTCGGTCGTGGCTAAGTCTTTGGTTAAAAACTCGTTAAGACCTCACAAGATTGTTCTTCACATCATAACGGATAGGAAAACTTACTTCCCAATGCAAGCTTGGTTCTCACTGCATCCTCTGGCTCCAGCAATAATTGAGGTCAAGGCTTTGCATCATTTCGATTGGTTATCGAAAGGGAAAGTTCCGGTTTTGGAAGCTATGGAGAAGGATCAGAGAGTGAGGTCTCAATTTAGAGGCGGTTCATCGGTTATCGTCGCTAACAACAATGAGAATCCGGTTGTTGTTGCTGCAAAGTTACAAGCTCTTAGCCCTAAATACAACTCCTTGATGAATCACATCCGTATTCATCTCCCAGAGGTAAATTTGATCCGTGAGTGGTGAAAGAATACTCGGACCGTTAAGACTAAAACTGTCTTTGCTTCTTCTTTTTTGCAGTTGTTTCCGAGCCTAAACAAGGTTGTGTTTCTAGACGATGACATTGTGATCCAAACTGATCTTTCACCACTTTGGGACATTGACATGGATGGGAAAGTGAATGGAGCAGTGGAGACATGTAGAGGAGAAGACAAGTTCGTGATGTCAAAGAAGTTCAAGAGTTACCTCAACTTCTCAAACCCGATAATTGCCAGAAACTTCGACCCAGAGGAATGTGCTTGGGCTTACGGGATGAATGTTTTCGACTTAGCGGCTTGGAGGAAGACTAACATAAGCTCCACTTACTATCACTGGCTCGATGAGGTAAACCAAAACCACTAACTAGCCAACAAACACTATCAAGCAGTATTCAACTTTACTCATCCCAATTTTTCATGTATATGTTGCAGAACTTAAAGTCAGACCTGAGTTTGTGGCAGCTGGGAACTTTGCCTCCCGGGTTGATAGCTTTCCATGGCCATGTTCAGACCATAGATCCGTTCTGGCATATGCTTGGTCTTGGATACCAAGAGACCACAAGCTATTCTGATGCTGAGAGTGCTGCTGTTGTTCATTTCAATGGAAGAGCTAAGCCATGGCTTGATATAGCATTTCCTCATCTGCGTCCTCTCTGGGCTAAGTATCTTGATTCCTCTGACAGGTTCATCAAGAGCTGTCACATTAGAGCATCATAATAATCACAAAACCAGAACTCAGTTCATACATTGGCTAAAAAACCCAGATAAGAGAGAGAGAGATTCACAGATCAACAACATAAAACATAGGAGCAACACTTTTCTGTAATGGAGTTTGTGCTTCTCTGGTCAAGATTCCCTCTTCCAGATCATGTTTTGCTGTCTCTGTAGTTTTTTCAGTTTCAGTCTCTCCTTGCTTCTAATTTTTTTGTACTTTCAAAACTCTTATGTCGAGGAAGTAAAACCCATTTTATGTATTAATGTAACACATAATGTGAGAGACGATCTGCCAAACTCTACTTTAAATTTACATGTGAATACATAACATTGCGCCAAGCAATTGGAGTTTACAATGCCATATCATTGTTCAACAGATAACAGTTACGAAGATAAAACACCATAAAACCAAAGCAACGATAAGACTAAGAAAGCCGATAAAGAGGAGAGGCAAAACAAATGGAGATTTTTTATCTTTCAGCGGAAGCGAGAAGCAAACCAGTTGATGATTTTTGTTGAGGTCTTTGTCCCAGTTAAGCAACTGGTGGACGAAGGACATGATCCTGAGAAGTATCGACTGAAGCAGGAGGCATGAACTGCCACATGGCAACTCCTGGGTAACTGATGATCGGCACCATCTTGTTTCCGGGAGCTTGCCCTTGAGCAGAAGCAAAAGCAGTTGGCATCATAGGTGGAGCTGGGAAAAAGCTTGGCTGAGGAGCATTCATGGCTTTCAGCTGTTGCTCCAGCTTCTCCTTCTCTGTCTTCAGCCTCTGTTTCTCATCTCGCAGCTCGTTTTTCTCAGTCTGGTCGAGATCATAAGGAAAATTGTAAGCATTCGATGATTTTCAATGGAGAAAAGAGGATAGCAAATCGAAGAAAATTTTCACCTTTAGCTCTTTGATTTTGTCCTGAAGACTTGAATTAGAGTCCTTCAACTTCTGGGCCTCGCCTCGTAGCTGCGTCACCATGCGGACAGCATCAACCAAGATTGCAGCTTTGTCTGTTTTCGGAGGGTTTCCAGGCTCCAAAATTACACCCAATTCCATAAACCTGTTATTCATATAAAAATGCGATTAATTTCAGTTCCTACAAGAACAAAAAAGTAAGGAAATGCCAAAAAATTGAAAAGATTACTTGTCATTTAGCCTGTCACGTCGCTGCTTCTCTCTACATGCTTTCGAGCTAGTGGCAGAGGATGACTCACATCTTCCCCTGAGACAAGTAATGACCAGTATTACTTTGTCAAGCCAAAAAACATATGAAGAGAAGCCAATACAGATCCCGGAAACAGTTTTGAGTTCCGGGAAGTTTGCTAGAGTTTCGTGGTTCAGTCAGAGGGTTCACGAGAAGAAGCTTACCTCTTTTTGGAGCCAGGTTCCTTGCTGGCTTCTGAATTCGCAGCTGAGCCATCAACTCCCAGGCTGAACCAACGAGAAAAACACATCAAAGCAACTAAGTTATTACTACATTGCAAACAATCCAAGGGAATCACCAGAAACCATATTCTAACACATTTCGATCTCCAACAAAAAGCTCTGAACTTTTTATACTCAACCATGCATAAACTTACAATGAAGACGGCTTATTCAGAATGTTGGCATCGTAAGGTCAAACCAACCACTCAGATAGAAAAACCATATCCAGAAAAAAGGAATCTAATTCCCACCCAATAAAGTGATATAGATCGATCGATTCCGGAATCTAGCAACATGTCAGAAGTGCACTAAAACATGCCAGGCACACACACACAGAGACACAGAGTTGACTTTGGATAAACAAACACAAGACCTCTCCTGAAGACTTCATATCATTTAATCTCACCAACTAAAGAACCCAATTTTTAAGCTTCGAGAGTATTTTCGATCGTAAAGAAGTAACAATAGGGTCTCAGTTTCTTCTCTATAACAATCCCACAAGCTTCAACTTAGCCAAGCCAATTACGAAGTTCGTTATTTTCACTCTTGACTTATTGTTTCTTTTGATATCCTATAGAAAAAAAAAAAATCCATTTTTTTCCCGAATAAGCTAATTTGTATGGGCAAGTAAATTGAACTTTCCTTGATCAAATTGAGCTTTCAAAACTGAAACGCCACACACTCGCATGTCAGTACTAACCAAATGAAATTCTTCAAGCAATCACACAAACATGACTACACTGATTTCACCCAAAATCAATCTGAATTTCTTATAAAAAAACAGATCCGAACCCTAATTGAAGCAACTTAGAAACAAGAGGGAGGAGCTGATTAAGAAACCTGGAGTGTGAAGAAACGCCAATAGGTTGCTGCACGGGCCAAGAGAAGCCTGGACCTTGGATTGAGAAACTTCCATAGTCGGCATCGATCAGGTCGCAAATCCAATTAGCGTTTTCGGGCGACACCATCTCCTGAAACTCCACCGGTGAAATAAAAATAAAAAATAGAGAAGGCGGTGAGCTTTTTCACTTCCGGGGAATTGAATCTTCCCGGCGGCGATCAGAGAGATCCTGTTCCGGAAGAGGGATATTTAGCCAAAGCGATTTCTGCCGTTAAATTTTATTTGTCCAAGGAACATAGAAGAAGAGAAACTGTTGGAGGAGACGAATTGTTGTGGAATCTTGGAATCCAGAGATTAGAGTTGTTTTCACGCGCATACTTCATCTGTTTTTGGGCTTTCAAGGCCCATACACTATATATAATGGTTTTTAATTTTATTTATTTTTAATCCACAATACATCATCATATATTCGAGCATGAGAGCAATAAACTCTAAAACTATACCTATCATTACTTAACTGGTTTTGGTTTATATTTTAAATAGTAGTATTCGTTTTTTTTTATTTGTCCGTTTAGAATTAACAAACTTATATTGATAATTGTTTCTGATCAGGTTAGTTGGATTGGACAAACATTATTCGACAACATGGTTGGATGGTTGTTTGGTCGTGATCTAGGAGATTACATTCTTCTGCTTCCTCCCGAACAAACATGAAAGTAATTCGTATGAAAATGTATATGATTATATGTCCTATAGACTATAGTCAAGTATATTCTTTTAAGTTATTTATAGTGTTTTTCTAACTGTAAAAAGGTCAATCGGTAGATTCTATAACCATATAATAAAATAAGCAAATACTCCTAACAATATATAAAAACATATGTAATATGTTTACGTATTGGTATCATTTTAACTATTCAACTAGCATTGGATTAATCTATTAATGATATAAGATTCCCATCGACATCTCAGGTTCAAATCCTAAATTTTACAATATCTATGGGTAATATATAATTAAGAACGGTGGGTTCATATGTTAATTGCCCTCAACCCCAAAATCATGTAATTACCGTTTTTGTTTCTTTTTTTGAAAGAACATCAATACTCAATTATGATTATTTGTATCATCACACTAACATTCAAGCGTCTGTATTCAATTATTCATATTACAGGATCACTTGAGCTTTTCAGTTTTGGATAAAGTTTTGCATAAATGTATCATGTAAGTCAACTTATATTCTTCCGAAAATGTAAGGAAAGCCAAATTGATATTAACCAGAGAAAAATAAAAAGGAAAGCCAAATTGATAAATAGACTTATCAACTACTGATTAGGGATATCCATCTACACATAATAGGTATATTCTCTAAGTATATTATACTAGTAGTAGCATATTTCTGTTAAATTATTGTATTGTATATGTTCATTGTCCTTCTCTTCTTGTTATCTTCAATATTTATATCGTATATACACACATATTTTCATAAAATCTTGTCATCAGGTGATATGATCGTTTTCTTTTTATGATAAGTTTTCACTAGTAACAACAACAACAACAAAAATTTCACTGATTTTTTTTTTTTGTTAAACTTTTTTTCACTATTTCAAGAATTAAAAAACACACACAAAAATGGATATCTAGCATCGACAAAACAAGATAGAACACAACTTTCTCTATGCATGGAAGCTAATGATATTATACTATCAAGTACAAACTATATTTTTTTTTCATCCCGTTAAAAACAATATAAAATGTCAATTTGTTATTTATTTTACTTAACTAACCTATCCCAGAAATTTACTGGATTCGCATTATTGAACACGAAGGGATAAATTATGATCGGCTAATCCAATTGCTTTTAGTTTGATTAATAATGTATGCAGTTCATCTATGTAGAAGAAGTGGCGCTATAAACTTCAATATTCTAAGTCAAATGCTAATGGTATATCAACTTGAGTATATATATAATAAACCATAACATTCTGAATCAAATGCTAATGATATATGAATGCTATGTATATAATAAACAAGTGTAATTGCAGAAATATTTTAAAGTTTGACTTGTTCTTTTCCCAAGTTCCGTGGAGTGGTGGAGGCATGAATTTTGCCATGGTTCCAGACGTTTTTTAGTTAACCTTATCTACTAGAACGAATCCTAAAGGAGTTTTTTTTTTTTTTGGTAATCTAATCCTAAAGGAGTTGACTATCATACAAATATTTATGTGCTTTTTATGAAATATTATCTATATTTTTAATATAGCCAGAAGATAAATCGATTCATCGGAAGTGATTATCAAATGACTAAGGTTTTAACTGATTAACAGAAGAAAAAAACTGAAACAAAAAAAAATATTTATTTTTAGAAAAATACGAATCAAATAAAATTATACTCGAAGATCTCAATCACAAAAGTTTTGTTGTTGAATATCGTTGAAAAATAACTTACTAGAATATCTTAAATTATGGGAATGAACCATTTGGCTTTTTATTCTCCTTAAAATTTCACACATCAATACCAACATTCCAATCTAATGATAAAAGAAAAACATTATTCAGAACAAAATCACTCGACTACATGTTAATTTTTTTTTGTTCCAATGTACAATTTCTATAACAATAAGTAAACAAACATTTATGCTGCTCAATGAAATGTCCCTATTAAGTTCTCAGCTCAAGGAAATCTAATTCTCTTATCAAAACTTTGACCAAACATTACCATTATAGATTCTAGATCAGATTTGATCAATAGCAAAAGAAATATTAAAATTTTGAATGCCAGAAAAAAAAATTAATATGAATCCAAACATCCACAAGCAGAATCCTACTGATCCAGAAGGAAAATAATAATACAGAGAATATGTATTTAAAATGCTAACCAAACTATACAGATTACAACAAAAGGCCTTTCTGTTTTCTCGTTAGAATCATCCCATTCTTCATTCAGTCGTGTGACCATATTTTAGGTACAAACATTTCATATAATTAACTTTAAAAATGATGCTTTAGCTTCGAACTTCAATTTCATTTCTCTCTTTCTCTCATCCAAGGCTCAAACGATCCAATGGCTTGATGTTAGTCTGCCTACGTGGAGTTCCAATCTCACAAGCATTCACTCTCGCTGCGAACCTAAGCGAGCATAGAGACTCACCGGTTGAAGAAGATTCCGGCGCAATGTTCACAAACATTAGAGTCTTTGAGTCACCTCCTAAGCAAGGCTGAAATCACAAATGAAACATAGTTTCATCATCAGACGCAACTAAAGAAACAATATCTGTTGAGAATCTTTGTCTTGTTAAGTAGAATAGTACCTGGAGAAGATAAGTGAGCTTCGAGTTTCGGAATGGTACATGATCGTCTTTCTTTGCTAAAGCGAATATGACATCGCCAAGAGACGACAAGCTTTTGTTGATTGCCTAAACAAACAAAGAAAGAATGTCGTATAAGCTAAAATCTGCAAGAAAAACATTACTCTTGGTTTGTGTTTTTTAGAGAACTTACTTGAGTTTCTTTAAGTCTATCTCCGGTTGATCCACTCTTAGATAAACGCTCACTCCCCGCAAGATCAATCAGGTTCAATACCCCTTGTACTTGTTGCTCAGTGCTCTGAAAGAAGAGAAGAAAACAGTTTGGTTTATAAGACAAAAACAGAAATATTGCTCTATAACAAGAACAAAAAAAAAACCAGGTTTGGTCAATAAGATACCTCGTTGACACCAGAGATTCTTAGTGTGAAAACAAAGTGGCTTCTTGAAGATTGCTCGTTCATTTGAGTCTTCCCTACCGATCTAAAGAAGAAAGAAAACAACTTTAGAAAAAAAAATTAAAAACCTGGTTGGCTTAACTTGTTCATAAATCCTTGGTTTGGAGTTACTTTGAAATGGTTTTTACTTTAAGCTACTCACTCACCTGTTACGAGCAGCGTGATCTAAGAGGAATGAAACCTCTCGGGAGCTTTTAACATCCAAGATAGTAAGCTCAGCGACATGTGTGTTCCCACTAGCATCATGTTTAATAGCATGTTTCTGTGGAGAAACACCACTGTCTGTTCTCACTGCTTCTTTGTTTGTCGACAAGAGATCTCTGATCGTTTCATTGTATATCTCCAACATAGATACCTATACACATAATGAAGCAAGACTAGGAAAAGTTATACATTACGATTCTAATCACAAGGATGTATCTCTTACTTAGTTCTACTTAAAAGATACAAAGATCAAACAAAAACAAACCTGCAATTCATATTTCCAACCCTGAGATCGAAGAGACTGCCTCGTTTCAAATATTTGCTCCAAACATCGTGGGATCAGTCCTTTCTCCTCGGGGTTTCCTGGTCTACCCATCATCGTGTAAGTTTTTCCCGAACCAGTTTGTCCATAAGCAAAAATGCACACCTGACACCAAATGATTAACATCAGTTTGTAATCATTCAAACGAACAAACAGCTACACACATAGAGACTTTGGTTTACCTTGTAGCCGTCGAGAGCACTCTGAACAAGTTGAGAGATCTCTGTGAAAACGTCTTCTTGTGATGCACTTGGCACAAAGACCTTATCAAATGTGAAAGAATGCTTTTGCGCTGTCAATAGCAAAAACACATTCAAATGTTAAAACCTGTGTAGTCTTCGGCAAGAACCACTGTTTTTTATTTTTTTTGCAGAAGTTTGATAGTTTCATACCGTTTTGGTTCAGGTCAATACTGCGACCAAGTGCTTCTAGAGATGTTGGGTATGAAATGGTTTTACCCTCTTCGCCATTGTTCTCTCCCGGCAACAGAGGTCTAACTCTACAGAACACACGTATGTTTCCTTTCAGTTCCTGCAAGATGAGAATAAACAAGGATCATGCAAAGCTTACACAAAGGGAAAGAAGAACAAAATGTGGCAGAGGTTAGTTAAGCGGATCATACAAGAATAGTATTGTGCAGCTTCTTCCGTAGTTTTTCTCCTTCGACGAGTTTAAGCTCTGCTTCTTCTACGCGGCTTTTCAGGTCGATGATGGTTTGCTTCTGGTCTTCAAACTCATTCATTTTCTCAAATGTAGTTAGATCAGACATCTAAAACCATAAACAAGAT